GAAGCAACAAGAATTCGATAAGAAGGCACCGTGGGAAGCATATAGAGCACAGTTTGAGTTACTGGCAGAGATGAATGGATGGACAGAGGAACAGAAAGCAGTATATCTGGCTGACTGATTTTGAGTTCCATACCTGAGCTCTAGAGCAGCAACCAGTTCTCTATAGTTGTGCCTGTCGTCTGCTGGTTGTCCCTTCAGGCTCGTTGCCAGATATACTGCTTTTTGCTCCTCTGTTCATCCATTCATTTATGCCAGTAGCTCAAATTGTGCTCTATATGCTTCCCACGGTGCTTTCCCATCGAATTCCTATGGCTTCCTTCGTACTGGATCATTCCTACTACTGACATTCATATCTGGGATGTGACTTCTGACAGGACTGAAGATGTCTACATTAGGGTTTAACTGCGGGGTCTGGAAGGGGCTTGCCATTGTCTGGGGCTGATTAAGTCGATGGTTAATGTATCTTTCTTGTGTAAAAGACAATAAATCATCCTTTAATGTATCTAATTCGCTTTTAAATTTACTAATGCACTTCTTGTTTTTTTTTTCTTGTTCCAGTTGCCACTGCTGTAGTCTCTCTTCTTGTTCATTTTATTTCTCCTTCCAACCACTGCTGTAGTCTCTTTTCTTGTTTATTTTCTCGTTCTTCTTGTTTCTTTTCTTTTCCCTCCAACAGCTATTGTAATCTCGCTTCTTGTTTCTTTTCTTTTTCCTCCAACCACTGCTGTAATTTCTCTTCTTGTTTCTTTTCTCGTTTCTTTCGTTTGTTTCAACTGGTGTTGTTCCTTTAATTAGTTTTGTATTGTCAGAAATTAGTCATCTTGGGTGCACTATGAATTTAACCACTATGTGGAAGTTGCTGTCTATCCATTCTGTGCTCCACCAACACATTTGTGTGTTTATTATGTATAAAAATGTTACTAATATATAATCAATCTGTAGATGTTCTATAGTGATCGACATTTCACCAAGATTTTCTAATTGTTGACTGAATCTATGAAACTTGTCATAACTAGGCTTGGCCTAGAAGTGTATGACAAGTCATTACTTGAAATATTTTTTTAGATTTTATCAATATGAAGAAAATTTTTCATTTTCCGTAACTCAGAAATATGGTTTGAATCCTAATTTCCTATGGGGAAAAAAAGAGATCAAAGTGTAAAAAAAAATACATTCAGTAATTTTGTATCACAAGTGAGACATAACACAGAGACATACATATTACTGTACTGTGTCTTTCTCCGGAACAGGAAACTGATCTCATTACGTATGTAATAGTTAACTAGCCGCTGAAAAGAACTAGTTCATAGTGTGCTAAGAAAAGAAAGAAGAATTATAATATGTTCATAGATTTTGGATTTAATCTAAAAATAATATAATTTCTAATGTGAAACTGAAAACTAAAAGATTCAGATACGACTTATACTTCTACAGTATTTTTAGTATTTGAAATTATTCTTTTGCTGTGTCTCGAGCCGTGCGGTACATGCTGAGGATGTTAGGCTAAAAGTAAAACGTGTAATACTGATACAAGTAATAGGTAAAACAGCGCAAGTATATAATATGACGTTATTTGTATAAGACCATCAAGTAACGTGAGAATAGGAACAGGAGTTGGTTATAAAAGTCGAGTTATTTTGTTTTTAAACTGCGTGAATTCGTAATATCGTACTATGATTTCGAAAAATTTAGTGATGAACTATGTAAGGAGAACATTTTCTAAAACTGACACATTCATCGTTTACTCAAATGACAGAGTTACAATTAGGCAACTTGGGGGGCCTACTCTAAATCAATGAGTGAACTTGAAGGCATCGTCACGCCATTTCGAACACTCGTTCACATTTGTCGTAACGTTGTCTTTTTCAGTTTTTGAGTTCTTAGCCTGATGACTATTTGGAAGTTTGACTGCATTCTAAATTTCTGGTAATATTATATAACTAATAGCAATACTGTTGGTTTTTTCTGTAGTTTTTGTTATTTCGAAGAAGTGAATCATTTCATATTACTAGTTTTATAAAGAAGGAAACCAAGTACTTATCATAATGCAGAAAAGAGAGGAAGCTTCCCGACGAGTTATGAAAACAGGTATTGGACCCAGAACAATGCATGGTCAACAGAAACAAAACCCTTCCACTAACTCTGGCGTGTTGATGGTTGGACCAAACTTTAAGGTTGGGAAAAAAATTGGATGTGGTAATTTTGGAGAGCTTAGACTTGGTAAGTAGAAAACATAAACTTCAAAATAAATTTATTATAAGAAAGCTATTTACAATATTGTATCATGTAAACTGAACAGAAATGTCAAGATTGATTAATTATCAAGACAGAGATTTGTGTGTATGTTATTCCGAATGTGTTGCATGCCTGCAAGGATTTTTAAATGTAGGTAAATTGACCACATGGAGGTTAGGATTGGGGATTTGAAAATGTTAAATTTCATTCAGGTTTTTAAATACATGTTTGTCAATAGAACCAATACAAATTGTATAATAGATGTAGTAAATAATGAATTTTACTAAAGTTTCTTATTTAAGAGCATGAATGATTATATACCTTATATTAAGTTATATTTATAATTGTATTACTGTAATTACAGTAAAGTGCAATGCAGTTTAATTTCTAGAGAAACCTAATAAATTACTGTGTTAATTTCATTTGAGTGATTAGTATATTTATCAATTGAATTTGTCTAGTGGTCATACAACACCATAAAAGGCCATCACTGTTTCTTCATTTTTTTTTACAAAAAAGTCCATATATTGCTTCTCAAGCCCTGATTCCTAGTTCTAACTTTCATGCAGTATAGCATATTAGAATAGCTCTTGAACCTGTAAAATTGACATTTAAAACAGTTTGACATGAAATTAACCAGAGTTTATCCTCTGTCATTCTGAGCATCAGAAAAAGTAGCCAAAATCAGGTGTGAAATTAGTGTAAAGTTATTAACAGCACAAAAACTTTGTCTAGGAAGACTTTAGACTAAATAATTAAATGACTAGTATAGCCAACGCATGATTTAAATCTGGTAAATTTGGCCACTATTCATGCTTTTCATATTCATTTACAAATATCAATCCAATTTCGATACACTTTTACATGGCCTAAACTAACTTTACATTGAACACATGCATAATTTATGATAATTTGTCACCTGCTAGTACGGTATCAATGTATCAGTGATACAGCATTGATTCATAAAAATATTGACTTTAACAACCAACTCGGTTCCATATTCTTTTTTTTTGTCTCGTAGCCGATGATACTTGGTAATTCCCACTTTCAAAACATGGACAGGTATATGCTCATACTGGTTGCCACCATTGTTTTACATGAATGGCAGTTCACAAAAGTAAACTGTAGTCCTCTATGTGGAGTAATGCATGCTAAACAACAACGCTTGTGTCATGTATCATTAGTGCTGCACAAGTAAACAGCTGTATTAGTTGCGATATGAAAATAGTATTCATCACGTGTGCTAAATAAGTAAAGTTGCGCATGTGATTTAAAAAATTTTTTTTATGCAAGTGATAATGACAAATTTACATGAGCAATTAACAATGCACCTAAAGCAAAATTTACATGCGTTATTGTGTGCAAACATGATCATACACCTCAAATCGAAAGGAGTGATTCTTTTCCTCAATACTGTTGTGAATGGATGTGCTTTATCAAAGCTTAAACTTTGTTCAGTGTAGTGAAATTTGCACTGCCTATATTTTAATGTTAATGTTCATTCATTTTATTTTGAATTTATTTTCAACCTACAATCCCTTTCAGTTACTGTATAGAAAAATAAAATAAATCTGTAGCATTCTTTTAATAACAGTGAGTTCTCAAGTGATGGTGAGTATGACCTCCTTTTCAAGTTCTGATGATGTTGTTAATACTGATCCTACTTCATCTATGGCCATTGAAGGCTACTAGATTATGGAGGATGTAACTGCCATTGTTCATCATGTCCTTTGTTTATTAGTGCTTTCATTGCCTCATCTTTCCTATCTATGTCAAAAGTGTGTTTCCCAATTTCTGAACTCAAATGAGAACAGTTTTTATCAGCTTTTTGTACCTTCCTGGATGTGGTTTTGGATTTCTTGGACAAAAGAGCCATGGAAAGGTTTTATTCTCATACTTTTGTTGTTTCCTAAAAGACTAGGGATTGGCATTCCATCATTGACCTTTCTTCTCTTGATTGCCATCTAGTGGTTCCTCAGTTACTAGTTTCTTCCTCTCCATTGGTCCTTTTTCCTAGACTGTGGATGACCAAGATCGATGTCTCAGATGCTTTTCTATGTATTCTGATTACCTTGTCCTCCTGTTTTCTTCACTTCTTTCTCTGGGATCAGTTTTGAACTTCAGTATTGCCTTGTCTCCTTATATTTTCATCCAGGTCATGGGAGCCTTTGTTTGGCATGATTACAGTGTTGGACTTTATTTCCATTATTACATGGACAATTGGCTTCTCCTTACTTCTCAGAAAGCCTCTTTCTTGGCCCCATCACTTTTCCTCTAACCCAATACATGGTCCATCTTGGAGTATTTTTTCATTTCTTAATTCCATTGAACTCATCCTTTTCCTCTCTGTTTAAAAACATGGAGCATCTAGCTATCTTGACTGTTGTCTTTCCTATACTTCATGCATAGAAATTATATCTTTTTTAAGGACTTTCTCACACATGTTCTCCCTTTAGGCCATGCTTACATAAGGCTTGTTAGATAGACTTTGAGTAATCAGTGGAATATTTACCACAATCCTCTGTCCTCTCTTATAATGCTGCCACCTTCTTTTCTTGAGGATCTTTCTTGGTGACTGGATCATGCCAACACTACAATCAATATTCCACTGCTGCTCCTATGTCTGGATCTTCATCTCGTCACCATTGCATTTCCCCATCAATGTTCTGGAACTCTTGGCTGCCCATTGAGCATGTTCCTGTTTCTTACCTTGACTTATGGACCAGACAATTCTATGGTTATTTACCATATCAGTCATCTAGGTGGGGCTCGCTCCTGGGACCTTCTGTATATTGGACGTTTTATTTTTGATCCACTTACATTGGGCTTGTCTACCAGCCTGTTATGTCTCAGGAGCTTTAAAATTAGTGGTGGATCAGCCCTATTGACCAGCTGGGTTCTTCCTATGGCATCACTCCATCCTCAAGTCATTCATTGGATCTGTTCCTCATTGGGCATATCAAGGATCGATGCTTTCACCACTCCTCTCCATACCAAACTTCTTCTCTCCTTGTTCCTGGTACCTCATCCAGCTGCATTAGCTGTGGATGCCCTCAGTCAGGACTGGTCTCATTTTTTTTTGTATTTGTACACTAAGCTAAAACCTCATTTGTCTCTCTTTCACACATGAGTGTCATCCATTTGTCTTAATGTGTAAGTTTTATCTGGTCTCCTATTTGTCAGCCAGGATTTTCTGACTATGTACCACTTCTTTTATCCTTGTGTTACCCTTGTGCTCTCTCTGTCTATCAACAAAAGTGGCATATTTTGTACCACTGGTCCATCCACCAATCTCTCCCACTAGGCTGTCCTACTGTTGTCCACCTTTTGGCCTTCTTTACTTGGATGTTCGATTATGGATTATTGTTTCTACCATAGCAAGCTATTGGGCAGCTTTATCAACTATTTTTCAACTTTTTTGTTATGGTTAAATTTTTTCCTCCAATGTTCTTTCCATCTTGTTCTGGCCCTTTCTCATTCATCATCTTTCTCATCCAATTCCTTTGTCCATAATGTGGTTCTACATGATCTTATCCAAACCATATGTGAACCATTGATAACATACTCATTATACTATCTCTCTCACAAACCCTGGTTTCTTCTTTTTATTGCTTGTATTTGTTGCACATCTGATCTTTATGCAGTGGATTTTTCCTTTACTTTGTTTCAGAGATCTTTTTTCAACAACTATGAAAAAAAGTTTAAATTTGATGGTATAGAGGAAGAATTAAGACTGTCACATAATAGTAGAATATATGTACAAGTTTATAAGTTTTTTTTTTCATAATTTTCATAAGTGTTTCTTCAGTTCCATTTATATGTCAATCATAATAGTATTTGTGTGTTAAATTATATCTGTTTGAAAGCTACAGAAAATTTCTGTAGTGAGAATACATTTAATAACTTGAGATAAGGTAAGTTTTTGCAGTTTAGAGATAGGTTGAATAGGTAACGAAGAATTTTATAAGTTTAACATAGTAACAAATGTACAATATTTGGAGAAGGTTTTATCCTCATCAGGTATAACTAGATTTCCTAGACATAGCAATATATGCACAGTATGAAACAAAGACACATGAATGGAGATAGTTTAAAGCTCAATAAAGTTGTCTTGTTGATGTTTGGCTTTGGCTCTTTGTTTAGAATTTTTGTGTTTTTACTTTTTAATAGATATTCAGTTGGAATGTTTGTAAACATAAGGTTTTTAATTATGTTTACCAAATAAAATCATCATAAAATTAGATAAGTTTGCTGTTTAGGGAGTATAGGCGACTACAAAATATTTTGGTGACACATTTTTATTGAATGTTTTTTATGTTTATCCTATCCAAACAACATATATAAGCTAGCTAACTGGCTATTTAATTATTTCTAATTGCAGTCATGATATATTTTAAATAAAAACATTATTACACTTATCAGTGATTGTAAATATTAGACAAAAAAATATGCATAAATGGCAACCTTCAGAAGAGGTCTATGGCATGAAACTAACGATAATTGAAAAAGTACTTTAAAAATTGCAAAACAATGTGAATGAATGTAGGAAGATTAGTACCATGTTAGAATAATGCAGTGGTTTAAAAAGTTACAAAAGCAGTGCATACCTGTCACCCCCTCTCAAATGGTGTGGTGTTGTACAAACTGTATGCTAATAGATTAATCTAATGCAGTCGATTAGTAAATATCTTTAATCATCCAACTCTAAATGCAACATATAAATTTGCTACTGCATCATGCTTTACATCCTATAGAATAATATTATAAAAACATTCCATAAATAGGATGTGATTGCAATATAGACTTCATGAGGCCTATGGAAAAAACTGTTTTTGCAGTAACTCACTGTCCCTAAAAAAATGGTCCCAACCCTAAAAGGTTAATGCCTTTTATCCCAGAAATGTTCATAAAAATTAACTTTTTTTTAGGTTTCCTATTTACAAGTAAATGTGGGAGTAGTATTTTGGAAATATGAATTAGCTACA